GAAATCAGAAATGTATAGCAGAGCACTCTATCGGCGGCTTAGTTCAAATATGTTACAGTACATGCATTAACGTTATAACTGGAAACTGATTAGAAATGGGTACAGGTTTCTACTACTGTACTTTCGGCTGATCCATACGAATAATAAATTATCAATTAAATCAATTATTTAAGATCGGGACGTCACTTCACTATGTGCCTAACCCAAATATGAGTGGAGGATGAGTGTATGATAGTGGCCCGATCTTGTAGTCTCGAGTGACTAATGCCGACATATTCCTTAGACACAGCTGTTAATTGATAGCCTATAGTCTACAATACAGCCAACGGCAACTAGGGATCTACAGTTAGTAGTGGAATCCGAACCACATTTTTGCTTGTAATTAACGAATTTGTATAATTATCATCAGGATATTAAAATTCATTATATTACCTCAGAATAAAGCTATAATAAAGCGTGTCACACAAACTCCCTTAAATACCTACCACCCTTTTATAGCTTAGCTAATGACAACTTAAATATTTTTGTCAGGTTTATAAAGAGGGTATTTTATTGCAAAGTTTGGTTCTTGTTGTATTACTATTTTTAAAACATTTTAAATTTTAAATAAACATGTTCTATATGTAAACTAATTGTTGTAATATACCATTGTAACCAAATAGTTAAACACGAATTGTAAATTCAACACAGTGTAAGAATGCTCTATTTGCCAATATCAACGCACAAAGTACATTTAGAACGACGATAAAACAAGTTAAAGCTTCAAATTATACAACAGGAAAAGAAGTCCACTTGGTCAATTGTTTTATCTATTTATGTACAGTACGTAGATTGTTGTGAGGTAACCTACTAATGATAAACTTTGGTCTGGTTTTCTTGATTGCATCTACGGGGATTTAAAGTTTACTACTATAAATCTAATAAGGAAATAAAGTGAACTTATTGTCTGAAAAAGTGTACAATGAAGGCCCATTCGTAATGGCATTGAATCAACAAAATCAACTCGATCTCAAATATCTTAAATGGTTAAAAAGTTAAGGGTTAAAAAGTAACTTACATCTCCCGGTGTAAGTTACTTTTCAGCCACCCTGTATAATGTCCGTTAGCACAATAACTATAGTAAAAACATCCAATTTTGATTACATTTTGTAAAATTATTATTTACAAACGTTAAAACCTACATTTTACTCAAACAGATTGTGCACCATTATGATTGAACTTTGGGAACGGGGCTTTATGGAGTAAAATCGAGGTTTTCCATTTCTTACTCTTATAACATAAAATTTCGTTCTAATTTATTTTGAAAAGCTTAAAAAAACAATTTATTGAATACTTTATTGAAGCGTTCTCGTACGTCTAATGGTTACGGACAGCAATTTCAAACACTGTATTTTTAAAATCCTACGTCATTCTTATGGGATCTAATTAGACCTAAACTGTTGTAGTTTGATTATGTACGGTTACAATTTGATATATTTTGGCAAATTTCTTTCTTTCATACTAAGCTATTGCTATTTCAATGGAAAACACGCCAGCAAACCAAAGTATTCCTGTACCATATTGTAATTTATCAAATAGGGAGGGATAAGTCTGACAATTTTAAGGAAATATTTGAGTGAAAATCTAATCAGACAAAGGAAATTTGCTTAGTCTACAGGTTTACTACCGAGGCATTTAAGCTTAAGTGTAAGTGAAGCAAAGAATGTAAAGTTTATTAGGGAAATCACTTGGTCAACACCAGCCCACTAAAACCATTGATCAAAGGAGTGACTAGATACCTGACGCAATGCCAAAATGATTCAACACTTTTTGGGCCCAAAACAACCTACTACTATTTAATCTCTGCTAAAACGTAACCAACAGGAAACTCATCATCCAAAGCTTCAGACTTATTATAGAGTAGTATTTAAGGCTCACAAGTAGCCTGTCTTTTCCGCAAAACGAAAAATACAGTAAAACTGTAGCTGAAACCTGTAGAGATGAGTGAGCTCTATCTTGTGTGGTTGACTGGTGACTCACTTTGGAAGGAGGAGCTAGTGATCTTTTAACACATCACGGCTGTGATTTTCCGGGTCGTGTCAATAAATTACATCGGGGAATTACACAAACTGATGACCAAATTGTTCTCCAAGAGTTAAAATATATTTTATGATGCTATGCTCTGAAAATCAGTGCGAAGCGTGGCCTACTAGCTGGCCATCTCTTGCAGTTTGCAGTTATCAAGGGATAGGGGGGGGGGACACGGGGAGGTAAAATGTTCATTAAATTGATAAACCCAGACACATTCTTTGACCTACCTCCCCGTGATCAGCTCCTCAATCAATCGGTTTATTAATCCTTCTGAGCTTCAAACGCACTCTAAGGCTCTATCCAACGCAAGAGTAACATGATCAAGCTTCCACTTACAACTATAAAAGAAAAATAGGCCAAACCCAACAAACACGTCTGAAAGCTTTAGCTAACATGTGCTGCAGCCTGGGATTAAAGCTTAGAACTAATGCTATTAGGCTGTTAATTGGTAATTGTTGTCCAGTTGTAATATTTCGATCACAAAATTTAGGCGGTTTAAGGGGAAGGGTTCCTAGGTTCCACCACTACTTTTGATATTAAATCTATCAGCTGTCGGCTGTTGTTTCAAAGCTATGGTGAGGTGGAGGGGATGGAATATCTTCCTCTCAAACTACCAAAATTTTGGAGTATAGTGAGGTAGACTGTTAGGTCTGAGGTCTGGCCAATGACTAGGCTGACTTTTTTCAGATGTTTTCTCTGTAGATGTAGATAGTAGGTAGATGTAGGCGCCATTCTGTTATTCTGTAGATGTTGTATCTCCCACTCAAAATTGTATCAAAATTCTAGTCAAATTGTATTTCCTCCGTTTTGACGAAAGGCGTCAAGTCGTACCTTAAAATTTGGTGATAGGTGTTGTACAGTAAAAACATTACTGCACAACTTACTGATCCGCAAGCGCCTGCATCAATTAGTCTCAAGTTGCATCTAGCTGCTGAGTCTAGTTGTACCTACACGTATAGTTAGTATATTTACCTTTTAGTTTAGTTTTTTTAGTTTAGTCTAGTTTTACCTACGTCAAGGTGTGTCTAAGGCTGCGGCCACACGGGCGTTTTTTCACGCAAGAAAGCAGCGTGAAAAAACGCGAGAAATATGAGCAGCATTAAATGTAATGAGGTATGCCACACGCAGTGTGTTTTCCCGCAGTAGCGGGCGCCCATTTGTTTCAATGCTACTTTAATTTTTCGCGTGTTTTCACGCTGCGTTTGTGCGTGAAAAAAACGCCCGTGTGGCCGCAGCCTATGTCAAGTACTCTATCCCCGTCAATTTGTCACCTTGTTTAAATGGATTCTGAATGAGGGTTGGCATTCTATAATTGTAACAGTCTACAGGTTCATTAAATGCTGTATTTGTTTTTTTCCCAATATTAATCAAGATAAGGTGATTAGAATCTTAAAAACCCACAATTACAGGTCAAAACAGTTAGCAATTTGTTTGATAAAATGTAATAAATCCTTCCATTCTTTGAATAAGACATCCATATGTAGTATGAGCCATAGTTGGAATTTTGATATTTTTTTTGTTCTTATTAGCAAAGGTTGTTGACTAAAAGACAGTAAGAATTTGCAAGAACATGTGTATGTCAAGTACTCTATCCCCGTCAATTTGTCACCTTGTTTAAATGGATTCTGAATGAGGGTTGGCATTCTATAATTGCATTAGTTAGCCATTCAACTTATTTCCATGATCGAGAATAATTTGAGGGGTTAGTTTAGATAGGTAGTGTTTGTAGTATTGTACCTATTAGGCTGATTGTGATGGTAAGGTTGATACTTTAATGCCTTACTGTTAATTCGTGAAAAGTCAGGGAGATATATTTTAATTTATTTCATTTTGTAACATTATAGTCTCTTATTATTTAGCTTTATTGTGGTCACATACTCAAAACCTGTAGATTAGTCAAAGTGATTCACTAAATGGCATATACATATCCCCGAAATTAGAACAGAGAGGTTTGGTCCATGAACATCAAATGACACCACTGTCCTGAATCTTATAAAACCGTAGTATCTGTGTAGCTTCGTTACAACGCCACTACTTCTATGTGCCACTGAGCTAGACGGCAACTCTGTTAGAAAATTGAGACGCTGTAAACTTTTGTTATGTTGGTAATCTTGGGAAATCAACCTGTTTATGGACTCAGGGCTTTATAACAATCCCACAATCCCTATTCTCCATTCCCCTAGTTCCAATTTCCAATGTACTTCAACCCGCACAATGGGTGGCTAATGTCTAGCAAATCTCTCATTCCTGAGTAAAAAAAATCTATATCCAGGCAGTCTTTCAATTGTTTGTATCTATAGCTCAGTGTTTGTTGCTTGATTAGACAAGCTCAGGACCATTATTATTAACAGGCAAAGCACCAAACTATAACTACCAACCACACTGTCAAGTTTCTCTTTAGTAGCTTGTGTATGTAAATCGGCAATTTTGTCAATTTGATCCTGATTAAAGTAAGTGATTTTTTAATGTTTTCAAATTAATAATTATGCTTGTTATCAATGATTCTGACTAAAGAGCCAGGTGATCTTAGTCTAGTCAGTAACAAAATGTACCTTACCATTCAAGATTCTCAGCCCTCAGTTTAACTTTACCATGAAAGCCCTGGAATGTTAGGTGCTATAATTCTAATTTGTTTTTTTCAAAAAGAGGTTGGCGACCTCGTCTACCTTGCTTTTGACTGTCCACATGGGCCACAGAGGCATGTGTAGTGTGCATAGAGTTGGAAGGTGTAAGCTGGTACAGTGCAAGGGTAAAATATACTAAAAAGTTGGGGCAGTTACCAGGACCAGAACCCATGACATTGCTGTCATGGATTCGAAGTCCGTGGTATTGACTGAACCATCACCAACTCACCTAATACCTATATTTTGTCTAGTTAACAATGGTGTGTCTATAGTCAAAAGATAATACCAAACAGACTTTGCTTCCAGGTTTGAACTTCCATGACAGAGACCAAACACACTTCCTGTATAGTCACAATGATGGTAGAACAAGAAGGCAGGCTTACAACAACAAATATCCCAGCTATGGTGGGGGAGGTTATAGCTGGAAACATTACTTCGCCATACCCCCTGTACCAGTGAGTCATTCAAATACAAATATACATTAAGAACTCCTTTTTGGTTTGACATCCTCAAGTATCATCTGAAGACAACTACTGTGATGTGTCTCTCTAGTAAATCAGTTTGTTTATTTTTTGTTATAATTTTATAAATTTTATTTTACCATTCGCAATATCCCTAAACCGTTGTTACCACCGGTTAATAAAAACTATGAAATGACAAAGGCACAGATATAAGAAAGATAAATGGGTTGTGCCTGCTGTTTTATTACAGCTAAGACTTATTGGTCCTTTGCCAATACCTATGATAAAAATGATCTTAGAATTTATTCCTCTCCCCAGCAGGTAAAATAAAAACCCCAATAAATATTATGTTAAATACCAATCAATGTACGTTATCTGGTATAGCTTTATTCAGAGCCAGCCTTTAGGTACATGCAAGAGGTTGCGACCACACAGGGCCTCGCACCTATAATCCACGCTTTGTGCAAAAATACAAAAAATTCAATTATGAAAAAAGAAAACCGGAGAGTATATTACACATTGAGATTTGTCTTAGTTAGTATAGTATTGTAAGGATACTATTAAATTTTTGTAGTAAGGGCTCTGATTTTTTTTTCACTGGATCCTGCACTACCCAAGGCCGACTCTGACTTTATTTTACTTCATAACTAATAAGAAAATATAATTTTGATCTGTAATGCTACAAAACTTTAATTAAGTAACAATAATAGCGACATGGCTTGTTAGCCAGGAGTATAATACAATAATTGTACTAATGTCTAATATGTTGCAGATATATAGTAACTCTAAAGAGTCTGTATACATTAGGGAAGAAAACCTGAAACGTTTAAAGAACACGCTTGAGAAGGACACCATATTCCAATTTTTAAATCCAAAAGGGTTGAGGATTTCAATACCAGGTATTGGTTATGATTTTCTTTGTAACTGTAATATAAAAACATAGGTTCCTAACTTGTGTCTTTAGTTCTTCAGCCATCGTCAATCAATAAATAAAGACACCTTGGACCACTGACTGCTCTTTGTACTGTACGTCAATGACATAAACTCGTCCTTGACCAACTGTAAACACCATATGTACCCTGACGACCTACAAATCTATGACCATTTTACTGCAAACAACAAAAATTACTGTGTCAGAAGGATCAATGAAGATGTCAACCGAATAGTTACTTGGACTGAGAATCATGGACTGAGACTAAACACAGAAAAGACAAAACTGATTGTAATCTGCCACCCTTGACTTTGCCATTCAATTAACTTAGACTCAATAAACCCAATCACAGTGAGTGGCAAAGCACTTCCCTACAACGACAATGTAAAGAATCTTGGCATATCATTCAACTATTCACTTACTTGGGACACAGCAGTTATGGACACACGAAAAAAGGTTTTTGCCTCCATACATTCACTGAAATGATTGCAGAACTTTTTGTCACAGCACACAAAACTTCATTTGATCAAATCAACAACGCCCCACTTCCGCAGTTACTGCAACTCATTGATCAATGACATGACTGTGATTCAGGCGGGTATGGTGGTCTCAGAATTATTGTTTGAGATTTGTCTATGGTCTGCGGCATGAGGAGCATATCACGCCATACTACCTTTAGGTATAAACATCTTGAAATTAAATTATCAAAGATCCATCAAAATTTTGTCATTTGAAATCAGTTTTGAAATCAGGCTCTCCAAAATATTTAACATCCGATTTTAAATTTGTGTCTCAGGGTAGTTCACTCACGAATTTCTTGTTTTTCTTCGATCACGTTGCGTATACCTCATCATGTGACCACCGCTTATGACGGTGCTTTTGTTGTTACTGCTTGCCGTCTTTGGAACAGCCTACCCCTACACATTAAATCCCTTAATAAACGTTCCCAGTTTGTGGCGGCACTAAAAAATAATTACTTTGAGCAAATGGTCTCGGCTGGCGTGTCCTAGGGCTTCTGCGTATTTGCACGATTGCTGGTGCGTGTGCGTGTGAGAGTGTGAACGTGTTTTCTTTTGTCTTTTCTTTTTATAAAATTATTATTTTGTAAAATTGCATTTTTGATTAATCTGTTCTTGATGTGTTAAATATATAAATTTATATTAAATTAAGAAATTTCATTGTATTTTTATTTATTTATATTTAAGTTTGTCAGGTTAAGTGTAAGAGAGATTTGCCTGGTTTTTAAAATAAGGAATTTTTCATTTCATCAATATTTCTGTTTTTACCGTAAGTTTTTCTGCAGCTGACAGCATAAATGTGAGAATCCTGGACTTTCGGCTCAAACTGAACGAGGAGTTTCGAGGCAGCGACGGTGGCCATTACCTTCCCAACAGCAGCAAGCGTGGCGGCCTCTGGATATATGACGTTCCGGAGCTTCAGGTGCAACAAGGCAACAAGATCTATTATTGGTTGAAAGTCAACTTTATAAAAGAGGCGAGCGACATTATTGTCAATGGCGTGCTGGATATTGAGCGTAAGTTAAGTTTATTCTTTGACATAAGTTAAGGAATTGAGACATCGACAGAGAGTGCTGTTGTCAATTATTGATTTATAATCAAGCCAACTGAGAAAAAAACTGACTGTGAAGTTGTCCACCTTTTATGCCGCATCAATTATTAATGTATCAACAACTTATGGAGGGAGAATACAGGGTGGCTGAAAAGTAACTTGAACCCCCCTTAACTTTTAACTATAATTTTAGATATTTGAAATCAGTTTGCGGAAACCTGTTTGGATATGATGGGCGGGGGGGTTGGGGGTGGGATATAATGATGGTTAGTTTTGAAAATTTTGGCCCTTATGCAGTGGAGGTGAGGGGTAGCACAAAATGTTCACTCATTGAAAATTAGAGTCAAAATTTAAAAATGTCGTACCTTAAAGAGTTGCTCTTGAGGAAAAGAGGAAAAAAGAAAAGGTTTCCCTATACCTATTCTTGCCAATTCAAGTAAATGCTTTCTACAGTTATGGGACACGAGCGTCGAGCAAAGGAAGATATTTGCTTTGTCCAATACCGTGCAGCTGCTTTTGCGAAACTCCCTTCTCAAGTAGGTGCCGGGTCTATTATAACACTCTCCCTAAACCTGAGAGCCCCAACAGTCCGGAATATTTACTAGCTATTAGATGTGTAGTTTTATTTATTCATTTTACTCATAGATTTTATAAATAAATTTCCTGTAATCCTACTATAGGATACTATAGTTGGCCCACTAGTTGTCCTGTATTTATAACTTTAGTTATGTATTCTATATTTATCATCTTGTGTCTTTGGCTTTACTTATTTATTATATCTTACATCTTTGATGTATGCTATACAATGTTATTATTGGCCATAAAACGATAAAAAAAACTATTATTACTTTTACTATAATCTAAAATTGGTTTACATAGGATGTCTTCCATAATCTCCAAAAGTTAATGGTAACATGTTGTGTTAGGGTAAGGGTACGTTCACAAAAAAAGCTGGTTACAAGTCCTTGTTGGCAAGTGCTTGCAAGTTACAACTGGCATGAGAAAAGTCTACATTGTATCAAGCGTTTGCCTTCACGGACAAAGCTTGCCCCAGCTAGCAAGCGCTTGCTACAAGTTCTGACAAGCACGCAAGAATGTTTTGTAGGCCTACTTGTTATATTCTTGAGTGTGGCAGATTGCGTGAAAATATAATAAATATATCTATGGTTCTTACCGTCAACGCAATCAGGGGTAGTATTACACTACGGCCGTTTCGGAGATGACTCCATCGTCAGGTGCGTAGTGGTACACTAAACCATGTGTATGTGGTCTTGTCACATTTAACACGAACATTCTTCATTTGCATTGCGTCAGGTGTTGAATAAATAATACACATATATATACAGGACGGACACACGAAAACACGAATACACGAAAACATTTAGAGCACGTGCACGGCTTGAAAACTGACGACCGACTATCTGAATAAACTGACAGTCGGTCGTTAGTTTTCAAGCCGTGCACGCGCTCTAAATGTTTTCGTGTATTCGTGTTTTCGTGTGTCCGTCCTGTATATATATGTGTATTATTTATTCAACACCTGACGCAATGCAAATGAAGAATGTTCGTGTTAAATGTGACAAGACTATAGTTTAGTGTACCACTACGCACCTGACGATGGAGTCATCTCCGAAACGGCCGTAGTGTAATACTACCCCTGATTGCGTTGACGGTAAGAACCATAGATATATTTATTATATTTAGCCTACTTGTTTTCCGGCTCTTGTTGACCGAACCAGTCAGTGTCTGACAAACAACAGTGCAGTATGGACGTCGATGAACTGATATCTTAAGTCTTTAGAAGAGGGGCTATTAGAAACAATAGCCTAAAAACTAAATGCTAATAGAGTTTCTTGAGGGTGTAAATAAACGTGATTAACTCCATTCTCATGAAAGAAAAACCCTCACTTTGTCCAATGTCAATTGAGGAAATAGATGGTGGTATTCCGCAAACCTACCTCTTCCGCGGTTAATTGCATAAACATCGACTATCCTTCTACGAATTTTAATTCAACATTTTCAAGCAAGAATAATTCTTCACTTGATGAAGACATTGTCTTAACAAAATACCAGCTTGAAATGCAAGCTTTTGTTGTGTACTCCCCACAACAAAATTCTCAAGCTCTTGGAGCAAGTGCTGAAAATATGTTAATTGTAATCAGCTTTCTTTGTGAACTAATAGAGAAAGATTCTACAAGTAATGTATTTTATGTTAAATATTTTATAAAAATTTTAAAATTTCATTTTCCTCAGGGGGGAACCCTCACAGTGGAGGAGATCAAATTCCATTTCGTCCAAAGCCTGCACCAGTCATCCCGGATCCATCCTTCGGCGGGGGAAACACTCCATCTTATGCTGGAAACAATCCTTCCTATGGGGGAGGAAACAGCGTTTCTCTAGGTGAAGGTCTCGGAGGTGGTATGAGAGGTGCATTTAGCTGGAATCACCAGTTCACGATCAATGCTACCGGCGTGAGTAAATTTCTTACTGCTAGTTACAAATTATTTTGAAAAGGGATACATTTGAGCTAGCCTACCTGAGAAATATAGAGTCCAGAGGCTGATGGAAGGACAAATAAAAGCTCACAAAACACAAATATTTTGTCCAAATATGGGACTTTTTCACAGAGTAGATTGAAGAGGGTTCCCTTGATACATGACTTCAACAATTTGGGTTACTAATTTGCAGACAAACATGTTGACAAAAAACAATATTTACTTAGGGAAAGAAAGTAAAATTGTATGCAATTTAGAGATAAATTCTAAAAAATAAAACATTTTAACTTTATGTTTCTTTTCTAAGATGGTTCAATTTTTTTACAGAGCAGTTTTTCACAGAGTTCTTCCAATAACTGGATTAGACAAGCTGACTTGTTAAAAAATAATCTTCAGAATCTGCGGTTCCAGTTCTCGAGTCCTACAACACTGATGATTACAATTCCAGGTAAGTTTCAAAGTCTTCTATTTCACACATTTACAGGCGAGTTATTACAAATATTTGGACATTTGGTAAGTGTCTCTTAGAATGATTCTATACAGCAGCATGATTCCTACTGGCTAACTGTTAATCGAGGAGGTGCATGCACATTTTATTCTTTGTGAACCTTTTATAAAGAGATTACAACTGCGTCAAGTCAGGTTGAATATGGAATTCAACTAACCGCATACCCTCTAACACTAATGATGCTTAACCAATTTCTAGAATTTGTATTTCATTTTATGTATAATTTATTTGGTCTAATGTATGGATATCATAAGGCGTAAAAACCTCTATATTTATTTAGAAACACCCTGTGTATATGTTTAGATGCCAATATAAACAGAATCGAGGATATACGAGTGAAAATAAATGAGGAATTCCGAGCCAATGACGGAGGTCATTATAACCCGAAGAGCTACAGAAGTGAGGGATTATACAACTTTGACTTTCCCCATCAACAGGCTGGGCCTGAGGACCGGATATACTATGTAATGAGAGTGAGGCTAGGATCTGAGGGGATTGACGCTACTGTCAGAGGAGTTTTGACAATAAACTGTGAGTACAGCAACACTTTGAGTCTTAGTGGATACATTCTACAGAATTTACTCTCTAAGATGAGGCCCCTTAAACCTAAATCCTTTCTAACTAAAACACAAAATATACTCAACTTGACTCGACTCTAAATTGAAAAATCACTACTCGCCCACCCCTAGTTAATTTATTTATTTAGGGTTAAACAATGCTTTTATTTACTCTATGGCTGTAGTTTTGAACTATAAAAATCTGTCGCAGTCAAAATGTGGGAGTTATAAGATCAAAATAATCACCCAGTAACATTTTCTAATGCTTCACAATGTATAATATGTACACAAAAATTTTAATATTTCACTGTTGCTGACTGCATTTTTAACTAAGAACATTTGACTTGGTAAGAAAGATCCTACGTCCTGACATATTTCCTATTACTTCCTATTGCTCCAATTCGTCGCCAACTAAATCCTAAGCCCCTTGAACATAAATCATCTCTAACTAAAACACAAACCTTATTTAGTTGAATGTCAGTGACAGTGTAACTATTCTAATTTTTGGGTATAGTGTAAATATGTTGTGTATTATACCAGCTTCAAGAACGAATTATTAATAAACTAGTTTACCTTGTGGTTGCCAGATTCTTGAAATGTGTAGATATCTTGCTCGATGTACATTTCGCTACACGTGTAGAGAAATGTACATCGAGCAAGATATCTACACATTTCAAGAATCTGGCAACCACAAGGTAAACTAGTTTATTAATATGTAAATATGTTATTGTGCCAGAGTAGAGTCTTTTCCATCCAGGTTGGCCTCATAATGAAAATCCTTAAAACCCAGGTCTTTGTGCTCTATTAAACATCCTTGTAAGTTGTTGTATGTTTTATATAAACTGATAATGTTTGCAGATGTGGGTTCCGCCCAGGGGTCCGTTGTAGCTCAACCCACCCGACCAACATACTCTCGTCCTTCTCCTGGAACTGTCAACAGTCCCCCGTCACTGGACGGGGCTCTAGGCGGAGGCACGGGGACGCAGAGGACCAGCTGGAATCACAGGTTCAACATAAACACCACCTACAGTGTGAGTCATCCTAACAAGTTTGATTTTTATTCTGTCAATTGTATTTTTTCATAAGACATGGGCAGCCTCTTTTAACCTGGTATTTTCCTGTGCAAGTGGGTCTCGGCACATCAAGCAAACCAAGGGTTTTTCGCCCCATACGCAGAAATGTAATTCTAAAATTACGATTACCTCGCATAACGAATCATTCAGGAAATGCCTTAGGTGTCAAACAAAATATTTTCAATAAGGGGTTAGGGAATGCAACAGCCCAACTTTGTTATCGTCTCAATTTTTACTCTATTTAGCAATTTAGTTTGGAAGATTAGCTATAGTTCAATGTTCTAGTTGGCTTCTGGTCTGGTTAAAAATCTTCGCCCTCTGATCCCCCAACAACGTTTCCAATGAAATTGTCATTTTATGAGGGTATCATAGGATAGCACGCTCTTAATTCCAACATGCTAGGGTCCTCCAGGCCCTAGCCCAACAGTCAGGCAATTAAATATTTCACCCAATTTGCAATAAAATACATCACATCACCACAATATACATAACTCGGTCTTTCCAATTGTTTATCTAAATTGCCCCGGCTTCAAAAGCCTATCATATGAATGAAAATTGTCAAGACTTATGCTAGAAATGACCGTGTTGTTGAACTTGCAAAAGAATGTAGGTACTACGGTAGCCATTGTTTCGGATGCGTGGCCATAATTTATAATTTGTGTAAGCACAAATCGACTAAAGTATATGAGTTGTATTTGACAAGACATCCATATAGTCGGCCAGTATTTTCATCAGGTTGACAGTCGAGTAATGATAACGGCATTTTTATTTTAGTTTTGATGGGCAATTAAAAAATGTTATATAATTTAGAGCTTGAAAGTATAATGACAAGCAAACAAAGACAGCATATTAAGTTCACTATTTCAATGAGCCAATGCATTTCAGACATCTTTTACGGAAGATTCTGCCAACCGATGGTTTGATGAAGCTCAGCGTTTCAAAGAGTTATTGGAAAAGGATACCAAGTTTCAATTCTACTACCCGACAGGGTTAAGCATTACAATCACAGGTATGTTCAATTATCAACATCAAAACTTTCATTTATTTTGTTTTGTAACATATACACAAAATTAATTCTTACAGAAGTAAAAGTTTTATTATTTTTCCTCAATATGATCATTTATTATGTTTTTAGGATACAAGTTTCAATTTCGCTTACAAAGATTTACATTTATTTTTCATGCAATTGTTATAACTATATTTTGTAATCGTCTATTTTTATTAATATTACTCTTACTCTAAATATGTTGCTCCTGTAACCCATGCCTCTTTTTTCTCTGGATTGTCAAACCATTCTTTGGAACCAAACTACAGTCCAGCAAAGATCTAGTCTATGACATTAAGTTACCCAGTGATTATTCGCTTATGATGTGTATGTCTAGGGGATAGCGAAGACATTAAAATTTTGGCTTTCAACATAAAACTGAATGAAGAGTTCAGAACGTTGGGTCCTGGGAACTATGTGGCCAACGTCACACGCACAAGAGATGGACACTGGAGTTATTATTACCCAAATCTGCACCTGAACCAAGGAGACAAAGTCTTCTACTGGATGAGAGTTACTATAGGGAAACAAGCTTTTGACAACACAGTCAAAGGCGTGTTGGAGATTGTCGGTAGGTTAATTTCTGTTCAAGGTCAAAGCCAATTTTTTGCGTAATTCAGCTACCTCTTAACAATTTACGTAAATTCCAGCTGCGAGCTTTAATCTAGCCTTGTGGGTAATTGAGACAAAAACTTATAATGAAACAAAGTGCCAAAAATGTTGTTTGGTTCCTGATATCAACGTTAGTTTAACAATTTACTAAAAACAAACATCCCTAGAATAGATTAAATTAAAATATTGCAGCTTAGTATGAATAAGATGTTTAACCAATCATTTTGATCAGAAGAGTTACTAAGACATCCCATCCCGCCACTTCTCAATATTGTCCATTTCACTAACTTTTTTTCTATCCACTCTTATTCAAGGCAAAATTGGATTGAAAGTTCCCTCTTAATTTGAGCAATTCCATACTTTTGATCACAGATCTATTTGTAAATTCAATTGTGTGTGATCAACTTGAAAAATTCCTTATTGTTATTTCTCTTTGGTCTTGTTACAGTCTAACTTCACAGAGAAGTAGTAAAGGTACAGAGGAAACATTCAATGGTACACTTAAGTGGTGCCCAGCACTAGTCGCCCATGTATAGGGCAAAGTCCAACCACCGCCTCGCCCTCATGTATTACAACGCTTACATGAGAAAGACCCTGTGCGCTTAGTTACCTGAACTCTCATACAGTGCTCCCCACACAGCTAGGTTCTTCCTTGCTCGTCACAAGTATATTCCTCCTAGCGTGTATGTACGCGTACACAACATACTAGAGATAAAAGCGCACAATTGTCCCATATGCAAGTTCCCTCTGTAACTAACTTCTCTTTGCTGAAACCAACCCTTTTGTTAGATAGCATAATTCAACGCTTGCATGAGGAAGGGGCGTAAGTTTATATAATAAGCCACTGTACCTACGTCCCTTCGTCTTGCAAGTAATCAATTGATAACTAGGTCTGGAAACAATCTCAATTGGAATAGTACCACTGACTTTCAGATTTGAAGGCAAGCACAATAACCACTCGGCTACCAGACACCTTGCATCAGTTTGTATTATTAGGTACTTTTCGATGATAAAAGTAAACGTCAAGTTAAATACTGATTAGTGTACCGGTAATGGAAATATTTAAAACTGTGCATGGAAATTTATTTCTTTGACATCCAAAAAAGAAGCTATTGCTCTGTGGATTATTTTTTATAGGTAACATTTAAACTGGTCCAAATAATGAACATAAATTAATGGTTTACAAACAATATTTTTCTATTGACCCTCTTTCCCCCCTGGTTTTTTACATTATTATTTCCCCTGAAGGTTAAATCAATGGTTTACTGACTAAATATGTTTTCCACAGAGGGAGATCCCCACCAAGGTGGATCATACCAACCCCAACCACCCCCAACATCACCAGTGATGCGACCCCCATCTTTGTCGCCTGATTACTCCAAACCGTATCAACCCAACCAAAATCCTCAAACCAATATAAACCAAAGCCTGAAACCATACCAACCGCAACCACGCCCTAAACCACCAGTAACCCGGCCACCACCAGTATCCTCTTACAATCCATATCAACCCAACCGAAATCCTCCGACAATTCCTAATCAGAGTCCCAACCCATATCAACCAAACCAGAATCCTCTAACAAATTCCAACCAGAAACCATATCAACCCGACCAGTCAACGTCAACCATGAATCCAAACCCTTATCCTCCATACAACATTCCCTCTGACCGGAATCCTTCACTACCGAACAGGAACTGTGATTCTGCGTTGACTTCTGTAACGAAGGGTGGAGTTAAGATAAACACATGCCCAGGAGATGTGTTGATGGACCATAAGTTTAACAACATGGATGGGTGGTCACACCAGATATCTATTGCAGGAAAATATTTGGTAAGCTATTTATTATTTAGTTAACAGTTCTGTCACTGATTTATATTAAGTTATACCCTCTTCTCCTTGGCTAGAGACGCCCTTTGAACCTAAACTTGAATACACTAATTCGTTAGAAACCAACTGGGGAAAGAATATTCTTCCCTTGTTGATTTTGCAATGCTTTCATAGGTCAGCAAAACATTTTCCAACATAATGGAGGATTATAAGAAACCCTTGTCAAAAAGGCTAAAACAGACTTATGTACAAGAGAGCTCAGGCTCAGAAATGAGGTTGAATTCTATAAGATTACAGGAGTAGTTTTGTCAACCATTCTGCTTTTAGAACATGTAGAAGACTGTCAAAACCTTAATAGTCTGTGCATCACTATGGTTAGGTAGCTGAGTGGTTATAGTACCTGCTTGGCAATCAAAAGGTTTTTGAGGATTCTAAACTGGACCCAGTAAAGAAACAGCTGCTACTATAAGTCGGTAACAAAGTTACATAGATCATCACTCCTCCATTATACACTCACCTAGCGTTCAAGAATAAAAAGTGTGCAATGAATTAGTTTACACCTAACAAAAGCAATGATAATTATAAATTTAGGTTCAGTGACATCTTACCTTGGTCAATCATCAACTAGCATATTGATTTCTCCATTGGTCAATACTATGAGGTGATTAGTAGGTAATCCAAGATCCAAGACAATTTTCTGTGAGCTTTTAAGAAATAGTAAATAGAATAGAGCATAGGACCATAGACAAAAAGAATTAAATATAGACCGTCAGCTGTGCTGCGGATACCATAGGTTGTGGTGCACACCGCTGGGAGCGCCATGTAGTTACGGCGTACGTGCTATGTAACTACACGGCCCTCCAAGCGGTGTGCGCAAGAAGGCATGGTAACAGTAGCACGGCTGACAGTCTATATTTAATTATTTTTGTCTATGATAGGACATAGTGCAATGAAATCTTTTTAGAAAACATTTTTGTTATTTTGGTGTTTATTTATGCCAGTGACATATTTACCTTTTTTTTAAGGGAACTGTTAAAACTCTAGTATTGCTACTATCTAACGTTGACCTTTTTGTTAGAAAGTATCATAATTTATAGCCCAATAACAAACTAGCATCTGGGTCTGGTAACAATCTTGCTAGGAATCAAAGACTATACTCCACCAACATTATCAAGTATAACTGAAACAGTAAACTGGTTCAATTTACTATTTGTTTACGATCAGCAGCCTACAACTCTCTGTATTGTGTTTGCTGTTAGGAGGACGAGTTCACAAGTTTTACTCAGGATGCAGAGAATTCCTGGTTGCAGCAAGGACGACTTTACATCAAACCTACGTTGTTGGAGGATAAAGCCAATGACTCCTTTGTGAGGCGAGGAGAACTATTTCTGTCAGGGTAAATAGATTTTCCTCTAGAATTAGTATGTAATTTCTCCCTGGCTCAACTTTGTTGATGTTAGAATTTGTCACTGTGGCATCACATCAGATTTATGAATATGCATAATGTTTCTTTAAAATAACTATTAGCTAACAAACTAACTAGTTAGTTTGTCCCATGATTAAAAATTGAACACTATCCTATTTTTTAGTTTACCCATTTATGATCTTGGATAGCAACTTAATTGTTACCCATTCTAGGACACTTTTACTGTGACAAAATGATTTTTTTATTGTAATTTAACATTTGAATTACCGTTCTATTGTGATTGTTTTCTTATATCAAAGTGTCATACAGTATCATTTTGTGTTCCCTCAAATCAATATTTCTGAATTTTTGTTTAAAACAGCTTAACAACAAACTCTATCTCAAATCAATCAATTTGGTTGGATAATAATGCACATATCAAGGGAAATTCAGTTTTGAAAAGCTGATAAATCATGGAATATTTTACAAATCTCAATCTTTGTCTGCTATGAAAATCACTTCTGGAATTGATCCTGCAATAGGATGTTTTTAACTAGTTCAAACAGAAATAAGTGGAATTTCTCCTGAACCGTATTTAGTAAAGTGTCAAAGATTCATTTCGTCCTTTCACAAGGCAGTTTCACCTCAACACATGATTTTTCATTTTGTATTTCTTAACCCTATCATTTTTCTTTGTGATTTATTTATTTTGAATACCTATTCTCGAAAGAGAATTTTTTGTGTCTAGTCATCTACGTTGATAGAGCATTATGTCCAAACCAGAATCATTATAATTTTGGCAACCGTTTGAGGTTCATGTTCCTTCCGTTTGAGGTTCATGTTCCTTCCGTCTGTTTACTGATCATATTCAAAATATACTTGCCAATGATGTTTTCAAGTAAACTAAGTCTACCTTAACATCGATTGTTGTATTATAATTTGACTACAGTTTATGGTTTTATTGGGGAAACAACCAAGTCTGATTGTTGTTTAAATATCACTAAAATTATTGCGTTGAAACACAACTATTGTTTTGTTCCTGAAATAACACTTCTTTTTACAAAAGATAGCTTGCTAGATAACTTACTTTCCCAAAGTCATTACAGGGAGGAGATTGTGATGACCCCAGATAGAAATTGATATATTTGCTGTTGTTTTTATAATTGTAAACAAGATATTGAATCTCGAATAGTTTCTGTCATACTACAAAGTAAGCAAATTGTTTTTTTGTACTCTTTGTAGACCTGACAGCTGTTAGACCACATAGACCTGGCTTGATGAAATCAGCTTGAGCGTGGTTAATCTATTTACTGTACTTTAAAAAAGGCAATACAGTATGAATTTCTTCAGTAGACTTTACACAAAGCTACATTATGAATATCATAGATGTTTGGACAGGAACTGTCCCAATAAACAGTGGTATAGTGGGGTAGGAAAATGGGAACAGTGTACCCACTCTGCTCCTTAAAATAATCATATATAGCCTATTAATAGGCAAGCTGTGTAATTCTGAGATATAAGCATTCCCACCCTGGAATACAACATACAAAAAAAATTATGGAATCGTTTTGTAAATGTTACCTTTGTAAAAAACTATAAAACTCAGATTAACCCTTTGGGTGGCAAAATTTTATTTTGTTACTTTCCGAAAAGTGCCAGAGTTTTTTACTAGGTATGTCCGAAAAGTGCCAGGCTTTCCATAGGGACAATGCTTTTAGTGCACAAGAATACAAATCGGTAAAAGTATAAATTTTCATCCCAAAAGTGCCATAGAACGATATATCGTACCTCGATCATAATGAGAGATCCATTGAAATGAAATCATCGTTGTTTTAAAATAACAACCTAGTCAACCGATATGCCCATTAAAACTCACATGATCGAAAGTATCGCCGGCCCGATATATCGTTGCAATGTATTTTTCGATAAGACTACCGATGACGACATATCGTTGTGAAGTATTTTTCAGATGTGTTGTGCAAAACGATATATCGGTGCATGGCACTCAAAGGGTTAACTTTAGGTTGGTTAAAAATAGTGTTTAATAAACAGTGTTGTAATTGTTCTCGTATAAAGGGGTGGTTTGCTTAGCCTACTCTATATATTTGTTGCTGGTAGTGTCACAAAAATTATCGTTCACAATTCACCCAAGACCAGGTAATGTACAGTATTCATATGAACTATAAGGCTTGTGAACACCTACCTTCCAGCCTTGTGGCGGAGTATATACTATTTTCACTAGGAACCAACTGTGTTGATTTTGTTGTCAGGTGCACTCTTTCCAATCTGGCATCAAACTACTGTCACCGAACGGCTCAAGGATTTACCATCCTTCCTCCCATATATTCGGCTAGACTCAACACAGAAAACTCGTTATCTTTTCGCTACGGGATTGTTGAGATCAGAGCCAAGTTCCCTAAAGGAGATTGGTTAGTGCCAGGTGAGCATTGATTTAGTTATGATTTGAGAATATCTTCAGATTGAATTCATTTTTCAGTTATTGCAGCTTAGCTAAGAGGATATAATGATAGTGGTAATCAGAAGGAAATTGGCTCAATCCTGATAGAGGTTAATAGAAGTTTGTCTACAGTGATGTTTTTGTAGGGTTTTTTTCTTTTACTTTGGCTATCTCTTAAGATCCTCGGTATTCTATAGTGAGCAACCTTTTTTTGTCGGGGAGCAAGCTGGTATTGTGGTGCACCTATGGATTTCATCTAAGTGATAATGTCGCAACCCTCTAGGCTTAGTCTGAAGTAATTTGTAAAACAGTTCTTAACAGATCCTATCGCCTTTGCAAGTGAAGGTAGGACAAAAAAGTAATCATGTCAAAAATCATATCATTTCAAAAGTTGATTGCTCAGATCTGTGGCTGGAGTCTGTCAACCCAAGAGTAGACGAGAAGGTGATCATTGCGATGTCCACGGGAAACACAGGAGTCTCGGCCAATCAGATGTCTGCAGGGGTCATGAGTAATTCCAACAAAGATGTCAACCTTAACAACATCAAGGGCTCCAGTCCGTGGTACCAAGGCTTTCATACCTTCAAAATGGAGTGGATGCCAGGTAACTTATTCTTATCACTTACTTTTTACATTATCATTACTTTTATGTTAGAATGTAAGAGTGGCCAAGAATGTAAATTATCATAATTCTCTGCTGAAAATGTAAACTGTTTTTATAGCAATGCTGTGTACAGCCGTTTTTGTTACAATAAAGTTTGATTTGATTTACTTTGAGATTGTAACATGTACCTGGGTGTAATTCAAGTTGAATGAAATGTGAGTTCAGTAAGTAGAATGTTCTTTGTAGCTTTGGGGTTATCAAGGAGTGAGTGCTAAAATGGTGGCCCTATTGGGGAAGAATATTTATGATTAAGGACGAAACAGTGTGCATTAGGTTTGCTCACTTCACCTTAATTTCTTGCATAAATTCAAACAATAAATTCTTTCAATTACACATTTTTGGATGAGTATTAGAACTTAGTTCAATTGAGTCACCAATAAATTTTGCTGGTACGATTAAAATCTGAATTTTTTCTACATTAACTAAATTCATTCAAACCAAAGGGAAAATGATGTAATCTACAGCCACTTTTATTTCCCCATTAAATATTAAAAACTATGATAGAATCAATATCTTATGGTACACTCTATGAGAACCTCATTATAGACTATTTTGTCTTCAGTAAATATTGGGTACAGTTCAGCCAAAGATTTGTGCGTGCAACCAGATCTGGTTGGGTCTAGGCGAGGGGGTTGGTGGGGGTACTTTTATGAAAACATTTGTGTCTTGCTACTCACACATCCCTACCCCCAGCACTGCAATAACTGGTACCTGTATGTTTTAGTTCGAATAGTAGTGACCCGTCCGCGGGCACATTAGTTTTGGCCTAACTGTACAGATGGCCCAAACATAACATAGGAAGTCTACTACAATATACAAAAGTCAGTAATATGACCTAAGTACGTAGTCATGTTATACCATTTAAAATACAGTACTTCTTTAGTTATAATTCTCATTTATGCTGTACTGTACTCTGTTGAAATTGTTCTATATTATTTCAACTTCCAACAGATAAAGTTACATTTTCTGTGGACAATCGAAAAATTGATGAACTTTCTCCAGGATCTTTTCCGATTTTAAAACAAGAGGTGAGCACAAATCCTTTTTTAAATAATTTTTTTTCAGCTTATCTTTTATTTTTGATGCCATAAATAACATTTTATGAGAATGACGGTCCTAAAAGGTGGAATTATTTTAAGTAATCTAACATTTACTGTACAAAAAACAAATGAGGTTTTTTGTGGGGAGGAGGTTAAAATGTGTTTATGCACACTGAGGGGCTTAATGTCCTCTCAGTAGGGCCGGATTTCCGCAGGCTCAATGTTATTCCTGGCCTACGGGCTAAAAAACCCCCTCATCCCTTAGGACACTATCTAGAACTGTCAGTACATTACTTCGGGCTAGCCCTTTTTTACTATGCCATTAGGACTTTTCTTCTTTCTTCTTATTTTCTACCCAAGGCTAAGGTCGATCGAGATCAACCTACTTAGCCCAAAGTATGGCCTCAGTGAACTGCTTGATACAGTTCCAGGTACCCTCCCCCTGGAGTATAGCTCAAACAATGTAGTCGGTATTGATTTCGACGCTGATTTTAGAGATCCAAGAGTCATACCACCTGTTACAAAAGAAAAAGGAGTGCTTGGCCGTGTCTGCAATGCCGGGATAGTACAGACAGTCAGATCGGGCGGCCTTCCCCATTATGTGCAAAAAAGTACCTGTGACCCGACAAAAAACTGGGTCATGAAATACCCTACCTCACCATGGTTCCATTCAATCCGTGGTCGGATGCTAGGAATGAGCCTGGCGGTCCTACGTCCCCTAACTCAGCATCCCATATTCACGCTGCCATCAGTCTAAACTGCAGTCGCGCTATTCTCTGGCAGCAGTCTATCTGCCTACTTCAGATCTTCTGCGGTAGATTTCCTGTCGCTCCCTCGTGAGATGCAAGACAGGGTTGACATTGTTGATTACCATGACTGCAAGCTCGGAGAACATGCGATAGGCAGAGGCGACTAGCTAGAGTCCTCGATGCTGAATGCGGGAATGCCAGTCATAGAAGACGTGCCTTTCAAGCACTGAGGGCCCAGACCTCATCGCCATATCTGAGGATTACTGAGGTGAAGGCTTGGGACATGAACATTAATTGGTCTCCAAAAACACGAGGAAATACTAGACTACTTTTTTCCTGTTTATGAATTACAACTGCTATACATTTTATACAAGTAAACAGCAGATTTCAAATTCTGGAGATACCATTGATTATATGATATCAGTGGTTCTACTATAAATGTTTTCCTATCTTGAAATGTACAGACATATTATCACTATTCTTTTATCCAGGTGCTAAGCAGGAGTAAAGGGAACCCTGCTAGTTGAATAGTAATAAAAAACCATATAAATTAGACTTTTTGTAACCTTTTAGTTTTTGTCTACTTTTTGTATTGAATACTTAGATCTAATCATTGTTCCTTTGTCTAGGCGTACATATCATTAGGGGTTCATGCAGGAGGCTACAGAGATTTTCCTGATCAATTGTTTCCAAACAAACCATGGGAATACGATGATCCAAAAGTAAGTATGAGTCAATCTTATATTCATTTAAATTTGTTTAATTCACAGAAACTTCAGTGCATATTTGAGTTGACTATGAATGAAGGGTGATTGAAGAATGGAGAGAGATGATGAAGCTTTGTTACTGACTAAAACCAGGCGTTCTTTCAGGTCAAAGCTAAGAAAGAAATTAAAGAAGATAAGAAATTAAATTTCTTTGAATATGTGTTTAAAACCACATACAGATGATACAGTAACAGAAACAAAGATATTAGCACAAATAAGGAAATGGAGAATAATAGGATTCCATGTCTGTGATCATAGGATACAGTCGATGGTGTCATAACTGGTTTTGCCATGTAAAAAGAAGATGAAAGAAATGTGGCAAAAATCTGGCTTGAAAGTAAAATTGGTGCAAAGAGAAGAGTTGGAAAACCACAAAAAAAATGGCTAGACACCATAACAGAGAATATAAAGCTATGAAAGCAATAGAATATTTCATTACTAGGACTGAAAGTGGCATTTTCCGTTGCACGCTCAAGTTTCATGTGTGAGGCAAAGCCTAACACAGGGAACCCAAATTTCACGAGAGAGTTATTTTCCCGTACGAGGCGAAGCCGTGGACGGGAATAATGGAGCAACTGTAGGAAAACAGCTTTTGGTACAGGTTATGAACAATACTTTTTGTCACGACGTAAAAATAACACACATACAGAATAACATACCTCAGTAGCATTTAAATAGTTTTAGAACAATCTTTTTCATTGAAAATATTCTTCACAACATACATATATGGTATCATGATTATAGATTTTAGATAAATTTATAAGTAAATAATTCGTTGACTTCACATTTTGTAGTTTGTAGATATATATATACATAAATAAAAATTTGAACCAATGGTGTTTTTGGCCTCTGGGGTCATCAAAATGAAAAAGTTAATCGGTCCCGGGCCTAGGTCTTACCATGAGACCTACGGTAATAGCTACTTCCCTTTAAAGAAATTCGCAAAAAGAAATGGATGAAATTCCAATCACATATTTTATTTACCGTGTGGGGTGAAAATAGAAAAGTCTGTACATTACACATTTTCGGTCGAGTTTTCGACCACTGGACGACCACTAGTTAAAATAAAACAAATAGAACCAAGTATTGTTATATATACACACACCTTCCTGATAAGGTTGTTGGTGATTTATATTTGTAAGGTTGGCTACACAGCCTGTGTAATATGCTAGGCTTCTCACTTCCGGATAACCTCAATGACTGATGTAAAAATGTGACTCTCTATCTAGTGAGTGTAGTGGTTAGATGTTAATAAAGTGTCTAGGACACACGGTTACAGTGAATAGGTGTAGGCCTATTAGAAGATTAATAATAAAACTGTGCAGTGACACATAGAAGATGGATTTTAAAGCTCCAGGAATACTAAGCCTAAATCTGATTTTACAAAACCCTATGTTATGTATAGAAGAGATAAAGTTTGGGAGCCTGCTCAGATTGTTCAAAAATGTAGTAGTCCTCGCTCCTACAAGATAAGAAATGAAAATAATAGAGTTTTGACTAGGAATTCATTTCATCTAAGACAGTCTCAAAACAAACCTAATTTTAAGAGTAATAACTATGATGACCTTTTTGTTGAAACTGATAAAGTTCAGAACCCTATTGTAAATAACAATGAAAATGCAAATGAGTTCAATGTGAATGAACATGTAGATCCGGTACCTATGAACAATTGCCCTGTTGATCTACCTGTGAACTTAAGACAGCGGCCTATGCCTAGGCCTGGTGAGGTTTATGTAACGAGGAGTGGTAGGTCTGTTAAAAAGCCTAATCGCTATCAGTAAGAAGTGTAAATATGTAAAGTAGCCTATGGTAAATTATAAAATTGTATTTTTTCATTTGTAAAAGGAAGGGAGATGTTATATATACACACACCTTCCTGATAAGGTTGTTGGTGATTTATATTTGTAAGGTTGGCTACACAGCCTGTGTAATATGCTAGGCTTCTCACTTCCGGATAACCTCAATGACTGATGTAAAAATGTGACTCTCTATCTAGTAATGTCCAAGTGGTTTTGATGTTAATAAATCTAAACTTAAAAATGTTTAACTGTGTTTTTATTAAAGAAAACCTAAAAACATAACAAGTATCTTTGGGTACTTATCAATACATAAAAAGTATTTTTCTTCTGTAACTTTTTCTCAAATAATGGTGTGATATGATAAAAACCAGTTCATCGCCCTTACTCATTTTACAAGGAAGGAGTATTCAAGGTCGTTAAACTTGAGCTTGTGTAGAAAAGAGTCACTTTACGTCCTAGTGATGAAATATACTATTTTACGTCCTCAATCTTTGTAAGTGCCATTTAATTACCAGATTTCATAAGGAAATTTTTAATCCAGTACCTAAAAAACACATAAGGTTTTACACTAATTAACTTGTTTTGTTAAATATAAAATGTTCTATGTTCAATGAAAACACTCTTAAAGAAATCCTACAGTAGCTTGGCTATTGGTCATGCCGATGCAAATCACGGGAAAGGTCCTTATGAAAGATTAAAAATGATTAATAAATATCCTTTTCTGTTTCAGAGGTTCGTCAGGTTCTGGGATGCTAAGAAGGATTGGTACCCAAGTTGGAAGAATGATCCATTCTTACAAGTGGAGTACATTAAAGTTACAGCTTTGTAAATGGTTCACATTGAATTTTTCATCTGTTTTATTTATTATTACCAAAGATATATACATAATTAGTTACTTTTCTAACTTTGTTTATCCTTTTCAAAATCATTACCACATTACTCCCCAAATTTCAACGGATCAGTTTTGTCTATTTTCAATGGTATTTATTTCCATCCTTGAGTATAAAAAAGCATTAAAACTATTAAGTATTTGGAATTGACACTAAAAGCAATCTGACACTTTCTACATAGCTGGTGATAAAGAAACCTATTTTTTTTTAAGATTTATATAGGTAATTTGTTTAATGATTTTTTAAGATTAAGTTTGTTTTACCTATATCTAGTTGAATTTGAGTAGGATGAAATGTTTTGTGTTAAAAATGTGAATGAAAAGTCCAATTTAGTACTAAATCAAAGGAGGAATAGACAGGATGTTTCTGTACAACTTTCCTATACAGGAGAGAAAAAAGTTTCCTAAGTACCATAGCTTAAGAAGTGATACTTCGTATCTTTCAATTTAGACTTTTTTTAGAGAAATTCCCACATAGGGAATGAGCTACCTTAGGTCTTTGGGTAAGATCAAGACCTGGGACCGATTTACTTTTTTGTTTTGATAAATATACATACACACAACACAAAAGGATTGAAAAAAATTCTGGGGACAGATAAACATATTTAAATAATAGTAAAGATGGTAGTAAAGATAGATAGTAAAACTTGGAACAAAGTTACTGGGTATACAAATAACATTAACACATTATTCAGTTGCTACCTTCTAAGAAGGGGTGGCCTTCTAGGAGTCGGAGAAAAATCTTAAAGGTAAGCATAGTTTGATAGAAAACTACAGTGCAGCTAGCCCAAACTCAAACGAAGAACCGAGTAAAAAACGGCAGCCGTTCAAAGATTTCTTGAATTTACAATTTACACCACTTTGATATTGGCGAAATTCTAAAATTACATGTGTCGGTTGGCATGATAACTTGAGTAGGATCATTTTCTATACACCCCACCTTGAGTAGGAGTTGTATAGTCAATGGTAGGCCTAGAATTCATCAGATTTTTATTGAATTAGTTTAAAACATGTAAACCTACGTTTATTCTAACAAGTTTGCAAACCAGGCAGGTTATTGAATGATTGGTTATTGAAACGGGTTTTACGTGGTAAAAATTGGGTTTCCCCATTTTTACCATCAAAACATAACATTTTACAATTTCTCTACAATGTTTTGTATAGCTTAAAACACACATTAATTTAGTATATTGAAGTGATATTTTACACCTAATGCCATTGGAGAAATATTAAAATTCCTACCTATCTTCTTATTCTTATAGAGAATAAGTCACTGTTGTAATTTGTATGTAAGCCTATATGGATGTATTTTAATAAAATTTGGCAAATTTACTTATTTCATACTTAGCTATTTACGTTACACAAAAAACATGTTACTTTCTCTGTAGCAGCAATTCTAAGTTCATCTTTGAATCTAATTATATTTAAATAGGGAATAAATGTGACATTTTTTGTAAGGAAATATTTGTGAAAAACAAATCAGACAAATGAAAATTCACTTGGTCAGCAGGTGTACTGCGGCAGGGGTTTTAAATTTTATTTTGACTCTGAAACAGGCCAACAACTTTGACACGAAAATTGAATGTTCAGTTGTATTTAGAACTAGACAATATATCAATTTAATTCCCAAGTTAAAGCTGTCATCAGTTGTAGAATTAAATTGATTGATTTTGATGCGATACTGTTTTCTGTTGAACGTGCCAACTTTCTTACAAAGTCAAACTTCAAACTGATAGGACTTATTGTAGGGCCTATGTTAGTAGCCTATCTATCAGGTATCACAAAAAAAAAAATAGGGAGAAAATAAAATTTTAGACTGTAGCTTTGTGATTGACTCATTCAACTACTCACAGCATATTTTACGGGATTTCCACTGGGCGACAGTGGCGTCAGACTTACCGGGGGGTCTGGGGGGAATACACCCCCCCCCCCCAAAAAGGGTAATTTTTGCATAAATTAAAGTGAAAATCACACATTTCTACGTATATTATAATGAATTTTTTGATTATATTTGCTTGTAAATAGTTCATTTAATCTCACTTAATTACGTATTCTAGAACTTACAGAACTAACAGGCCAAGGCTCCCTTCACAACCTCTTGGGCCAAAATCATAGCTCAATACTCTAAAATATTTACATAATTTTACTTTTTAAATTCCGATACATTTACAATGTGAATCATTAAAAAAAATATGCCGGCACCACCCATAGTCACTGGGCGACAAAATCTCAACACTGACATGTTAACATGTCATTTTATGCCCTGCAACTACTCGTACCTACTTTATGTTCTTTTACATAAGAAAGCAGGCTGTCCCTTTCCCTTCCTTTATCTTGCTTGCCCATGATGACAGCGACAGCATTTAATGACAAACGGGGTGTATTTTTCAGTAATACCGAAAAATCAATGGTTCCATCTATATAGTGAAAAGTAGAATATGTGCTGTAGTCTACAAAACATTCAATTAGAAAAGTTAGAGGAAATTTAAATAGGGGTAGCAGAATTTTATCCCCCAGAGCAAATCTGATGTCACAGCCATTGGGGGTGAAATTTCCACCCACAAACTTTTTGAGTTGCACAACATGAATTGAATAAATTAAAGGTGAAATTAAAAGTATCTTTTTAAGGTTGTGAATTTAATCAGAACAAATAAAATTATAAAACCTTGAAGAGCGTAGAGGTGAAAGTTTACCCCTATTATAGTTCAGCTCTAAATTCACGGCCAGATACAACGCATTGTTCTAAAACAGTAGTATACAAAACACGCGAAAAACTTGGCATTGGTCATGTTTAGCTTGAAAACGCCTGCCTAATTAATCAGACTGACTCACGCCTGCCTACCGAGGTTGATCACATCTACCGTATCCGTTTCCGGAACATCGCATTGTTGTCGCGCAGCTGCAGGGTTACCACCTGTGCCGCAATCAACATAATTACTGAAATCCCTGCCACAAGCGGAAACCCCCGATACTACGAATTTCGTAGTTCAAGGACCGAGTATCTGATAGACCAGGAGTTTCCGAAGTAATCATCAGAAAAGGAGCAAACTTAAAAAACCTCTTGGGCAATATTCCTTACAATTTTGTGTTTTGATTGAAAAACATTTTGTTTTTCAAATTATTATTTTGATTTCATTTACTTTATGCAATAGGGAGTTTATGCTATCCAAGCAATTGCGGACATTGTTCATCATGGTTAGTAATAAAGTTATCACCAGTAACATGTTTATTCATGTTGAATTTTAATCCTGGCTTGATTAGTAGAGTTATATTATAAACACAATAACTCGAACATTCTTTTCATTGAGTAACTTGCGTTAATTTCTTTTTACGACACTGATATTTGAAAATAAAAGTAGGGCTATTTATGATACTTGTAAAGCACTTTTATAGTTCTGAGAAACCAAAAGAGACTAATGAAGTTCGTTTAGTAAATTAGCTCTTCCGTAAAATATGCTCTTTCGTCAACACGCTGTCAATCATGGTAAATCGCATGAAGGCAATTTGGAGGACACAATGTCTGATTTACGTAAACTCCACGAATATTAGAACAGAAACGTTATAATGATCATAAGCATAAACAAAATACTCTGCTGGCTAGAAAAGTAAACATTTTGCCATGGTTATGATCCACACAATTTCTGTTCGAATGTAATAAACTATTATGTGACTCAATTCAGAAATACAGTTTATCCTCTTTACCAATCAAAATAAATAAATCACTCTCAAAGTATCAGACTGATAAAACATAAACTCAGTCACTGACAGATAACGGTATCATCCTTCCTCAGATTGTGACAATTTTAAGGTTAGGTTTTAACGGTTTATCATTGAGGTGTATGTAGTTATTTGTTTGTTGTCATTTGGCGAACTGTGAAGCAATTTGACGGAATATAACGCTGTATTTGTACACATTTGACTGTCTTTCAGTGTTAAAACCAAAGAATAAAGCACAAGACGTTACACAACACATTACTTCTTAATTGGCTGTGTAATCAATACTGATGCAATCTACTAAACCTAACCTCAAAAAAAATTAATTAAATTATCTTTAAGACCCAACGATGAAAATTCACATAGTAAAACAAAGAATAGACTTAGCCTCTTACACGAGGAAACAATGTGAAGACGAAACATGCGATGACAGAAACGAGAAACTGAATACCTTCAAAAATAACCAGACAAAGCCGCGCCGCGGACAACTAATGTGTGGAAGACAGAAATAAGATTACTACAATGTGAGATTGTTCAGGCCAGAAGCTGTGATATAAACCCAGTGACTGAATGGCACGGCACATTGCTCAGGTATTTTGGCAATGCGCATTCAACACTAGCCAAATTGTACGATTCTTGATTGTGTTGAGGTTAATTGTTAAAAGAACCTCATAAACGGAACTTATTTGGCTTCTCTGTTGGCTCAGCTAATTATTGGAGTTTTTTTTCGATCTGTTTCATCATGTGAGTGATTTGATATGATGCACTTTTATTGATAAACAGTCTCAGCAATCTCTGTTAGTTCAATCAGATGACAAAAGTTACAATAACTTTACAACCATAATTTTTACAGCAATTTAGGCCTATCATTTTGTTTAAAACTACGAGGACTATAACATACTAGATTTTAATCACAATCGTTGGAGTTCTTTTTTGAAAATTCAATTTTTTATCATTTATGGATTTTTAAGGGAAGATCACAATTAAAAATCACAATTTAAAAGAAATCTTAAAATAATTGGAGATACCATAGATTAGTGGTACCCACATACCAAATTTTATCAATTTTGGGCCACAGGTGTAATATGTAGGCCCTACCTCTGTACCTAGCCCACCAAACAGAAACACACAGACATCATTTAGAAAACAATCTTTTTGGGTTCAGTAGTGCCCAAAACGGTTATTATAATATATTTTCCACCTAAAACTCAAACTCGAAAATTTTGTTAAAAACAACCTTTCTCCATAGCTATGTATAGCGGAGATAGTAAAAACATTTATAAAGGGAATAATGCATTCTCTTAAAAAAAAAATGCAAATAAAATTTAAAAGTTATTG